AAGATGTATTACAGGTGCCTACACATTATCCTTTGATATTTAGTTTGTTCAAGCATGCGCTCTACAGTTTCCAGAAAAAAACCTATGGAAAATATGACAAAATTCACTGAATATATTCATTTTTTTCTAATTTATGAAAATTTGAACTTGTTACCAAGGCAACAATTCTTAGAAATAAAAATAAATACTTTCATGATAGTGTTTGGGAAGTATTCAAAATGAAAGAAACAGTCATTTCAATGTCCATTTAAAGGTTTTCATTTTTGATGCATTTGGGGACCAAAACACGCCCAGACCAAACATAGTCATCATCAAATAGCTTGATTTCCTATTGTTTTGACGACGCAATTTATAGTTTGATATACATTTATGCCTTTTTCTTGTTTATGTATATACATGTATATATATTACAACAATTATTTTAGATACTACCTTCCACTAAATAACAAATTACAACCAATGACTATAATCCAACATGGCCGCCAGTCTACTGTTTGGGAGAACACACTATTCCTGATTATTCGTGAATGCGGACAAAGTGCTCAGACCAAGAAATCACACATGATATGTTAAACTTCATGGGTAGATCGCTGGTAGATTGGAAAATCCTAATTGTCCGAATCTTCTGAAAGAATTGTTTGTCAGTATGCGGGAAGGTTGAGATGTTGGTGACCGGAAGTGACGCCATAAGGTCGTAGGTGATAAATGAAGAATTCAAGGTCGTACATGCGCATGGGTTCAATGTAGTGAAAGGAAATGGCGTAATCGCTAATTTTGTCTACTCCCTGGAACACAAAGGAAGTTTATCGTTATATATGGTAGAACGGAAAATGTGGGCAGATAATTAAGTAAAATAACACTACACGAATATAATAATACACAACGTTCATAAAGCGCTCTATTTTGCCAAAATAAATCAAGATAATAAAGATGCCTTATATTAATTATAATAATAACTGGAGGTTGTTATATACCGCTTTATCACAACCTAGTTCGTAGGTCGTCTCAAAGCTAGCACTCAGCGATTCTAGCACTGCCCAACCACGTACTCATTTACAACAAGCGGAGTAAAGTATCTTGCTCAAAGATACAACACATTGCCGTGCCGTGACTCGAACATACAACCTTTCGTTCACGAGCCCGGCGTCCTACCACTACACTACCGCGCCTCTTATTGCACTGTGCGAATAATGATCATGGTAGTTGGTTGGTTGGTTGAAGGGTTTTTCGCCTACATGAATCCGCCCATACGGGTTTCATCTCACTAGTGTTATGCAAGCACATATAGATAGGATATAAATATGTATGAAATGTTTAATAATCTGCCCGTAACAATTTAAACGTAAGTAATTTATCTTCATGTGTATATATGGAGACATGTTATTTTACATACAAGTCTGTAGGAAGGTATATATAATAGCACGGGATGTGATGAACATTTGATCAGAAGAAAGTTGTGAACAGCGAATTGTATAACTAGTCCGTTCGCATGGAGAAGGAACAACCACGTGGTCTGATATATATTTTCTTAAATTAACAGTCTTGTTGCAGTACTTATCCAGTAATCTTGAAAAAAATCGGACTCTCTTTATTACCCACTCTTCCCTCTCTCCGCCCCTCTCTCCCCCTCTCTCCCTATCTCTCCGCCCCCTCTGTCCCCCTCTCTCCGCCCCCTCTGTCCCCCTCTCTCCGCCCCCTCTGTCCCCCTCTCTCCGCCCCCTCTGTCTCACTCTCTCCGCCCCCTCTCTCCCCCTCTCTCCCTATCTCTCCGCCCCCTCTCTCTCCCTATCTCTCCGCCCCCTCTCTCTCCCTATCTCTCCGCCCCTCTCTCCCCCTCTCTCCCTATCTCTCCGCCCCCTCTGTCCCCCTCTCTCCGCCCCCTCTGTCTCACTCTCTCCGCCCCCTCTCTCCCCCTCTCTCCACCCCTCTCTCTCCCTATCTCTCCGCCCCTCTCTCCCCCTCTCTCCCTATCTCTCCGCCCCCTCTCTCTCCCTATCCCTCCGCCCCCTCTCCCCCTCTCTCTCCCTCTCTCTCCCTATCCCTCCGCCCCCTCTCTCCCCCTCTCTCCACCCCTCTCTCTCCCTATCTCTCCGCCCCTCTCTCCCCCTCTCTCCGCCCCTTCTCTCCCTCTTCCTTTATCTACAAAGGCATGTGCATGTGGCTATCTTGGATTTTAAAGATGACCGTCATTTAAAACATATAAGTATAAAAAAAAAATGGCTTATACACAAGAAGAAGTTGAGAACGACCTGAAAACTATTGATTATCAAACTATGTTTTCAGAATTTGTCGTTAGAATACATTTCTCATCGCTCGCGGGTGGATGTAAAAGAGAGGTCACCACGACTGCTCGCACAATTTTATCCACCTGTGAGCGATGAGAAAATTGTTCTCACGACAAACCATGAAAACACATTGTGATAATCTAAACGTATGTACTATCCTGATTATATGCAGATGATCATTTACACCAATAAAACCAAAAAGGTTATATCGTAGTGTTAACAAAGTCCCAATTTGTGTTCAAAATTGATAAAAATAGTGCAAAATAGAACAAAAAACATTTACATGGAGAGCTTTTGAGAAGTACAAAGAGCAAAAGGCCAGGTATTCCGGAAGGGTAAGCGTCCTCTATTTTATCGACGACATCCGCCTTGTAAATCTAGGTCAAGTCCAGGTAATACTGAAACGTTTGCTTGATACAGATTTTATACATGACCTGTCAAGCTGAAGGTTTTACCCATGTGGACCCTCGATATTTTTTGAGCGTCACCGATATAATCCTGGTGGTCACTGAAGGGCCATGTCAAACGTCCAACATATTGAAATGTCTTATCAAAACTATTTTAAACAACCAAATTCGTGGAATGTATATCCCCCGCTTTCAGGACATATTGTGGGAAACATTATTGAGGTTAGGTTTACACATGTGAGTATCGTGCTGTTGAGATATAATGTATAGCTTGAAGCTCGAAGAAAAAAACGCCTTATCTAATATTTGCTAGAGTTATTAAGCGGAAACTGCAGATAATGACTTTGCCAAATGGCGTCCGATTAAAGTGGTCATCAAACTTGGTCGAGCCCTTAAGACAATTAACCCTGGTACCAAGTTTGAAGAAAATCGGTTAACATTTGTCGTAGTTGTTGCACGGAAACGAAGCGTGACAGACAGACAGACAGACAGACAGACAGACGGACAGACGGACCAACCCAAATTAATAGCCCCCGTTTCGGTGAGAGCGGGGGATAATAAAGATGACCTAGTGCATCCTCGATACCCAGGGGTTACGTTCACTTTCGCTCTCTACACCCCTGGAATATGTCATGGCAAAACTGAAGGCACGAAGATAGCTGTTTGATTGGTCTCAGGTAAAACAAAACCTGACCAATCGCTAGGCTGATACCTGTTCTTTGAAGATTACAAAGGAGAGACGCCCGACTTCAAAGCCTGTCAATTTTTACCGTTATGTAACCGCGATATTCTTTTGATGTACATCAAAGGATCGAACTAGTTTTTTTGTCTCATCAACAAGATGGCGCACACCGATCCTTCAATTTTGCTATGATGGAACACTTGTTGTAATATGCTGATGTATTTACATGACGTACATCTGGCATGAAAGGTTGCCCTTAATCAAGAAATAATCAAAACAGTGCAAGCCACGTGTTGACATTTGTGTATGAGTTAAAGAGCTATGGCGGAAAACTGCCCGTATTTCCCTAAGTCGGCATTTATGAAAACGGGAAAAAATATGAATGCATAAATGATTTCTGGTAGCGAAAATGCATAGAATAGATATAAAACCAATTGAATATGATATTTTGAACTGTTGATATATTCTGTATTGTTGATATAATGCTGCACAATAGCCGTATTCACTATACCTATGAAAGTGACAGGGTTTCCCAGACTTAAAAAAAAAATCAATACTTTCCCAAACGAGGACCAACTTTTGAATAAACTTTTTGATTCCCAGATGTAATATGCAAAGTCAAATCCCTCCTTTGAGAAAGTGCTCAAAATAATGGAAAACAGGGTTGATAAAGTTTCTCAAAACTGCGACAGATGTTTCTTGGGTTAAAACAGTTTGTATTTCCTGACACGTTTATGTCCGATGTAGTCTAATGTGTAACGCATTAAGCTTGCTTCTCAAGAAAAAAAACCGCAGTTAGCTTGTGACCAGAAGAAGTGAACGCTGTAGGTTCGAATCCATGTTCAGTTATCTTTTTTTTAATTATCATTATTAATATTTAGGCATGTGATCATTTTCCTTAATTAAATGGAACATTTTATTGATATTTTAATAACATACCTATTAATTCATCTTCTATGGAATCATGCCAACAAATCCCTGTACGCTTGTGCAGTACAGCTACGCTTTGTAGTTAAGATATTATTTTAAATGACATTTATGAATTCTTTAACCTTCAAATTGGCACTATTTTTTATTTTATTTATTATTTAAAAACATATTCGATCTTGTGCTCATACAGCATAACGCGAAATAAACATTTTGTCGAATCTTTATCGTGAAAAAGCATGTATTGAATAGCCATGGTCTTAAATTCGGCTGATTTAATCTGTTCTTAGACACGGGATCCCGATAGAGCTACCTGAATACGGTTGGATGCGCGCACTAGCGGTCGTAGCTTTGGGGAAATAGGCATAGCAACCCACCATAGCGAAGCTGATCAACCAAGCCAGCTGCTCGGCTTGGGAGACTTTCGTTTTAGCTCATTCGTTAAGCCAGAGGTCCCGGGTTCGACTGCTGTCGAGGACATTGAACAAATAATGGCCCCTGTTACATCCAGTTTATGACATTTCATTGAGGTTAGCACTTTATAGTCGTTGACCTCCAATCATCTATGGACACCGTCGTCATATGATTTTGACAGTTACAAGGAAAGAAAGGCCTTGTCACGTGAGATAACGATTTATGAATCCTGATTTTTACTCCATATTTTATACATGTACATGTACAAGTAGATAATATACATACCTTATTCTTCCCATGAAAAATGTCGTAATCATAAAACCAGCGAGGAAAATTTCCAGATATATGCGTTTGAGGACTGAAACAATGAAATCGGGTTCGCCCTAAGGCGTCCGTTGAGTTTCCAATTCTGACTCCAAGATTCTCCATACATCGACCAATCTCTACGTCTTCATTTGCACCGGCTTTACGGCACAAATTCGTATCGTTTCCTTTCAGAACCAGCCTTCGTAGGGCTTCTTTACTCAAGACGTACCCCGCCCCTCCACTGTGGTAACCCTGCTTTACTAGTGGTCTGAAATGATGCCCGAAGTAGACTGGTTTCTCATGTGAATGTGACTTCAGTAAATAACGAAGGTTTTCTAGTATAACGTAAGTGTCGTCATCAGCTTTCAAGAACCAATCAGCGTCATTGAAATGTTTGTCATACACGTACTTAAACGCTTGCATACTTTTTTCCGTAAGATGGTCCCGTCCCTCGGAAACGTTCAGCCCCACGGTCGGAAAGCTGGTGTTTGAAGTCGAGCTGATGTAAACAACCACGTTACATCGCTTGGCCCATGTGCGTTGTACGTGTATGGTCTTAACATTAAGATTTTGTGGACTTGTCATCACCCAACATAACACACGTACTTGTTTTTTTAAATCCATGGCAACGTGGTTTTCATCTGAAAAACGTTAATATCATGTTTAATTTCTTTGTTGTGCAGTAATAACAACCATATACTATAAAGAGGTGATCATATCACCATTACCAAATTCTATCCCTAATAAACCCGAAATCTCTATAATAGCCCGAGAGACAGGCAGCCCGAGGGCTGATGTGAGCCGAGGGTTGATACAGGGTAGAAAATCATAATGATTTCGTTATAACCCGTCATTTCATATACCATACGTTATAATTTTAAGTAGAAAATGAAAACTTTACCAAGAACAAGTATGGATGTATCTATGGAACCGGAAGTAACACATATACAGCACGTGCTGGGCAGTTATGGGTCGGTGGGGGATAATGCAAAATAATCAGTTAGCAGTAACGCACATGCATAACAACCCATATCACGTAAAAACGTTTATAAACATTCTGCATATTATCTTTTGTTATATAAACTGCATCCGACTTTGCAAAGAAAATTGTTCTTCAATGAATATTCTCATAATTCTTACCTATGTCATACATGTTATCCCCATTTCCATTTCATATCATAATTTAAATAAATAATTTAAAATCATTTATTAAAATACTTGTAGGAGCTCGTCTTAAAAATTCCAAATGACTGTGTATACATATTTTTTTTTATTAAACACCGTAAGAAGATCGTTCGACGAAAACATTTAATATATGCGATCTGATATAGATATTTTACTGATAAAATATTTACCTTGATGAAATTCATAATCGTTGAAGTTGATTGGTTGAAATCCTCTGATCATTTTATCTGCATTATGCAAAAAGTCCTTTTTCATGAATCGCTTATTAGTCTGATCAGGTAACACTGAAATTGAAGGAAATTGATCCTTTTTGTTTTCGTAGCGGTGTCTGTTGATGACGTCATATGTGGTCTGACCTATTAACGACTGCCGTGACGTCAGACTAGCTACTAGTAAGGTGGAAAATATTCCGATTGTCAAACCACAAACAAAATTGATGCCTGCTGATTTGTATCTTCTAAAACCTGTAATGAAATAATGTTCATGGTTATACACTATAAAAGAAGGATTGGAATGCATTTTTTTGGTCAATTTGATGAACCCTAGGGCTTCATGGTATATACCGGCATGAACATTGCAAGACTACCGTTAAATTAGTTTAAACATATTTTATTGTACAAATATACATATGGATCGGACAACAAGTTATTACAACTTAATAGAGTCCTCTCCTCAATACATATTGTAAAAATAGTGTATATGTTTTTGGGTAAGGGAAAAAGATAGGTTGAGGAAGGAAGGAACTGTGGGGTGGGAGGGGGTGGGGGTGATGGAGGGGAGGGGTGTTACCTAGAAAAGTAAACTTGTAAACTGAGAAATCGATCCGCATTTGAATAAATTATACAGATTTCATGACATGCATCCTAATAGAGTACTTTCAAAATGAACAGAATCAATGTAACAAATAAATCAGGCAAAATAATGAAATACAATTTCATAAACACATATAACAACTTAGACATAAATAAAAATAGAAAAGTAAGTATAACTATCAAAACCTATTGCTGGATTTGATGTAATGATGCACATGTCCAAAGCTAGTTAAGAGATGGCAAGCAACTTTCACAGGGTAATTTAAAAAGAATTACAAATACGAGCAGTATTTTTTGTCATTTCTTNAATCAAAACCTATTGCTGGATTTGATGAAATGATGCACATGTCTAAAGATACTTATGTTGTTTTCTATCGAAAGTTGACTATTTCCAAACAAAAGTAGTTCTAAATTAAAAACAACATGCAAGGCATTCAAATTTAGGAGCAGGGTATGTCTTTCGTTGTCAAAAAGTAAGCACTCACAAAAAAAGTGAAAGGCATTTTCACAGGGATGGCCGCAATAACAAACTGGACTATCAACCAGATTTACTCTAAAAAGATCATATTTAAGTGGACTACATTGATGTCTAAGTTTAGTATGCAAAATGTTCAATTTACGTTCACCGAAACCTAAGTATATTGGTGGAGGAGATTGTACATTTGAAGTTAACGAGTTTTTAAAAGAATGTAATGAGGGCAATGATCGCACTGAAAGGTCTAATGAATTCCAACCGCGAAGAGTTGAAGGTATAAAAGATGAATTTGTTAGAGAAAGCCTGAAAGGACGAATTCTATAATCATCATTGTTTCTAAGGGTATAACGGTTATTTTCTGCAATGGAAGATGGCAATAGAGAATTTTTAATAGTCTGGAGTTAATTTGTTGTGCATTTTATACAAAAGTTTTCTGCGTTTTCTTCTATTCGAAAGAGTTTCTAGACCAGTTTCAAAAAATAAGTCTTCCATTCGGGCAAATGAAGGAAGACTAGTTGGAATACGAGACGCTTCTCTTTGGGCTTTCTCTAACATTTCTGTTTCATAAGTTGTACAACCATCCCACAATTCACAAGCATATTCTAAAACTGGTAAAATAAATTATTTATAAATCTTTAAAAGATTATCACGATTAAATAAGTATTTTAGTCTACGTAAGACGTTGACTTTTTTCATAACTGAAGTATATATTGCACAAATATGATCCCCCCATTTTGCACTTGAATTAAAAATTACACCTAAATGTTTATGATGATCAGTAAAATTTAAAAATTCGCCATTAAATTCTAATTGTAAATCTTCATCAATTTCATAGACATGAAGAGGATGATTTTAGTCAGTTTTTTCCGGATTGAATGTTACTAACCAAGTTTGGGACCCTGCATTAAGAGACTCGAGATCTCTATTCATAACCGTTTGGATTTCTAGACATGAAGAGGATGATTTTAGCAAAGAAGTATCGTCTGCAAAAAGACGAGAGGTTGATTCAAACACATCAGCAATATCATTTATATAGATAAGAAACAAAAGAGGTTCAAGAATCGAACCCTGAGGAACACCTGCTTCAATGACACCTAAGTCGGAGTAAGAAGAATTCAACAAGAATCTCTGGTGCCTCTGAAATAGGTAATTTTCCAACCAATGATACCAATTCCCCTGAAATTCCATAGGATTTTAACTTAATCATCAAGCCCTTAAGCCAAACCCTATCAAAAGCCTTAGAAATATCGCAGAATACCATACATACATGTTTTTTTTCTTCTAGAGCAATACAGATGTTATGATAAATTTCAATGAACTGATATACAGTAGAATGACCAGGCAAAAAACCAGACTGGTGCTTATGAAAAAGTGAGTTTTCAATAAAAATAATTATGCAAGTATTTGAAAATTACCCTCTCAAACACTTTTCCAACTGTAGATAATAAGGAAATTGGCCTGTAGTTAGAGGGAGACTGCCTGTCACCTTTTTTAAACAGTGGCATAACTTTGGCTGTTTTCCAAGAGATTGGGTAAACACCAGACGATAAAGACTTATTAAAAATGATTTCAAGGGGAACACAAACTGTTTCTGATGTGTTTCTGAGCATATGGTGACTGATTCCATCCTCACCCGAGGCCTTACCAAGCTTCAATATCTGTAAATTATCACGTATTTCATTATCATTGACTCTAATGTACCTAAGACTATTGTCAGTTTTTGGCTCGATGAGAGGAACCGCAGTATTTCTATCATCTACACGAGTTATATTACAAAAATAGTCATTTAACAAATTAGCTTTGTCTTCATCACTAGTAACCACATTGTCAGAAACAGGATCTACAAGAGTAGGTATAGATTGTGTAGTACCAGACAATTGCATCAACCTTTTGATGAGTCTCCAATAAGCTTTTGGATCAGTGGACCATTACATCCTTTTATTAACATTCTAAATTTGTAGTCATTATATACCCAAACAAAGATATTCCTTTATATTTTCGATATTGAAGTGTATGTATCGTCATTGCAAACGAGATTTATTGAACACTGAATGTCACCAAAGCGTCAACAAAATGTTTGATACTAACGGTTGTCTCATGTTAATCGAGGCTGGAGGAGAAGCTTCAAAATGACACTGATCCAATTTGCATGGCATTGTCACTATATGGTCTCTTTGAAAGCTGTGTCGTTGATGGGACTTTAATTACCATGCCGCACGAGACATAATTACCATGCCGCACGAGACACAATTCTTAGCGTATTAATTACAATACTGACCGGAACTACAATATCCAATGTAAATAAACATGAGATTGACGGCTGCTGAAATATCGCTGGGCATTGTGAGATTTGATAATGTCATTGTAAATTTATGTGCAAAATAAAAAATAAAATAAAAAACACTGTTATTACAACGAAAACAAGACCAAGGTCTGCAATATCGTACAAAATGCACATCGGTTGAAATCACCAATGCCGGCAATGGAAACAATTTTAACGCTCATGCAATTTATCAGAAATATCGTCTGTTACACTGCACTGATCAACAGGGGTTCGTTATAAATGTCTGAAATACACATATTCTATAGACCTACTGACACATATGTTACAGACCTACTGATATGAGTCACAGCACACATAAACATTCGTCATTTCAGACATTTGTAACGAACCTGTGCTCCGTCGCAAGATCACTCACTTCAAACGCTATCAGTTTCACGCGTCTCGGATCCACGGTTCCTCAGTTTCAGACGACATGTCAAATAACGATGCTGTTATAGAATCTACCGACTGTTGTCGGGTTCCCATACAATCAACAAATACATTCACGCCTGGATTCTTCACAAAATGAGCAAAGAGAAAAGTTCGAATTAACTTCCAAAAATAACTCCCTCGTGGAGGTCAAGGTCCCATTCACGGTGTTCACTGTATTTATCCATGCGCGAAATTTGTTCCGGGGGAAAATCGAAACAATTTCAAATCCAACTTTCAGCTCAGATTTCTATTGAAAAACTGGAATCACCCTATAGACATATCATACGCAATTGTATTGATACTAAATTGTGGAATAAATTTGAAGTGTTTGTTAAAATGTCAAAGTACTACTTTGTTAGCCAATCAGCACGCGACAATACGCTGTTCAAACTATTGAACGAAATTGTGTGGACTGTCGATAAGGCGGGCATTTTTAATTTTAATTATAGATTATAAGTTAAAAAAGAATATAAGAGGCAGAGAAAACGTAAATATAAGTAATGAACCGTTTTTGTATGGTATTTATGATTTATTTGAATGACACAGCTTTGCAAGGAAACATCGCGCATATTTTGATTTGTTTGCTTGCAAAGCTGTATCATTAAAATAGATCATAAAAATTGCTAGACCACAAACTTGTTCACCGTTGATGTATTACGTATCATTGTTAAATGTAAGCCCGAAAATTGTATTTCACTTGCGTGTAATACAATATCTTTTTTGACCTTAGAAATAACGGTACCGAAAGACTGAAGATTGACATCGGGCCGATGTTGGGTCAACGTCGGGCCATCATACACACATTGTCCAGATACTGGGAGGAACATGGTTTTCATGTTGGAAAGACTTAGGATAGACATCGGGCCGATATACCTGCCGATTTTTGGACCGACATCAAAACGTGTTGCAAATGAAAGCTGGCCCGATGTCGGTCCGTAATTGAAACCGACACTGGGTCGATATGGAGGACTGCAGATTGACATCGGGCCAATGTTGGGTCAACGTCGGGCCAACATACATAGATTGTCCAAATACTGGGAGTAATATGGTTTTAAGGTTGGATATACTTTTAAGTACGTCGGATAGACATCGGGCCGATATACTTGCCGATATCGGGCCGACATCAAAACGTGTTGCAAATGGAAGCTTGCCCGATGTTGGCCCGCCCTTCAAACCGACAATGGGCCGATATGGACTCCGAAATCGGCCCAATGTCGGCCCGATATCTATGTGCTGGCTGGGAATAGCGTTTCAAGTGAGTGATTTTGAAATACACATATGCCTTGTGTTTGTTTATGTGTGCTGTGACTCATATCAGTAGGTCTATAACATATGCGTATTTCAAACATTTGTAACGAACCCCTGTGGATCAGTGCAGTCGTGTATTAAAACAGAGAATATTTCTGATAAATTACATGGGCG